CGTGTAGTTGTAGGCCGCTTGTCACAGTGCCGTGCGCGTGACGCGTGTGCGAGGCTCGTTATCGGCGCGCAGGTGTCTACGATTTACGTCAATCGGAGTGGAGCGATCGCGACAGGTGGAGGAGGATATTCTCGCGATAGAGAGAGACTCTTTCGGTTGGAGCGATTACGGAGGGAATGGAGATACATCGATTTTCGCATAAAGCTAACAGGATCCTTTCGTGGCGATCGAATTGAGGGATACCGAAAATGATCGAAAGCATGTAAATATTACCCGGAGAACGTAATCTTGACTCCCGTCACCGCCTACCTCTCCCCGTCGAGTCCCGTGTGTGCGCGCGCGCGCGCGCGTGCTTTGACCGTATGCTCGGCGTGTCATCGATTTTTCGGCGATTGTGTACGACCCGTGTCGCCGGTAGGAATCGCGAACAGGATTATGAAGAGGATCAACATTCCCGCGGTTAGTAAGAGCGCGTAAAAAGAATTACGTGCGTGCGTACGTACGCACGTACGCAAGCGAGCACGTCGCCGTCTCGTGCCGCGAAAGGAGAGAAAGCAACAGAGAAAAAGAGAGAGAGAGAGAGAGAGAGAGACAACGAGAACGCGAGCTATCGACAGCGCGCGTCCAACATGGCTACCGCCGGCAACAACGCGAATGCCGGCAACGAGGCAGGGAACAGTAGCAGCAACGTGCCGCAATGGAAACGCGACCTGATACAACGTCGTCGTCAACAGAGCAAGGTCCTCGCCAACAACGGCGCGAGCGTCAAACTATGTAGCGCGGTGATCGGCACGTCGGGGAACGCGACAGCCTCGGATGGGGTCATCGAGCAGAACGCGTCAACGGTCCAGGAACATTGCTCGATCACCGGCACGCTCCGGATGGCGCAACGTTTAACAACAACAACGAGCAGCGGCGAAGACACCGCGACGACCGTCGCGGTTTGCGGTGCCGGTGGCAGTAGTGGTGGTGGTGGTGGTGGTGGTAGTGGTGATAATTCTAGTAACGCGCTGCTCTCTCCCCCCTCCTCGTATCCCGCGAGAAGGCCGCCGACCAGTGGCGCCACCATCGTCGCCGGCGGTGCAACGGCGACGGTTGCCGACTTCGCGTCGTCAGTCGCGTACAACATGCGTCTCGAGGCGGATCTGTCGCTCTGCTCGGACGCGGAGGATGTTGTGAACGGCGCGCCGAACAAGTTCGCGGACGAGCGGAAATTTTCGGATTACGCCGGTGACGAGAACGAGGAGACGGCGTCGAGAACGCCGGACGGTAAGCTGGTAAGAGCGATCGCCAGGATGAATAACGAGAGTAACGCGTCGACGCAGCGCGGTGAAGTTCGCGCCATTGTGACCGGGCGCGGGAAGGACATTCTTGGTGGAAGCATCAGGACGCTGAAGGAGTTGCCGCCGACGAGCGGTCGCCGCCACGTGTCCGGCGAGGACGCGGAGAGCGATAGCTCCGAGGAGCTACAGTACGGTCCGGGAATCGTAAATAAGCTTAAGAGCAAGTATCTTAACCTAACCTTGCGCGAGACGAACAAGAGCCGCGCATCGGTACAGCGATTCCGGCGGGCGGCAAGTCTCGAGGATCTATTGGACCGCGACGACGACGAGGCGTCCAGTCACGAGAAGCAATCCGCTATCGGTAGGAAATATACGAAGCGGAGCGGCGGTTTGACGGGCGGCGGCGGCGGCGGTGTCGTCGCACCGAAGACCGACAGGTACCGAAACGCCACCCGGGGCAATGACTCGATGAAGCGGGCGCGTAGCGTCGAGACCTTGATGAGGTACAACAGCGTGACGACGGACGAGCCGATTATGCGCCAGCTTGTTCCGGTTACTCGACCGGCGACGAACGGCATGCGCCAGGAGCCGGTCAATGACCACATTATTCTCGTGGATCGCACGTCCGTGAAGATCGAGAATCGTTTGGGCGAGCTCGAGCGGCCTAAACCGATCAACAAGCCCAAGAGGATCAAGCCGATATTGGCGGAAACGGAACGACCGCCACCGGATCTAGTCAAGACCACGATGAGGATCTTCGAAGGCTCCGCGAAGAAGGTGAAGCCCAAGGGCGAGGTCGCCGCGAAGGTCGCCACTTTCAAGACCATCAACGACACGTTCAAGGCGCAGAAGAAGCTGATGCCGAAACCGCCGATACAGCCCAAGCCCTTCATCAACGGCGGCGCTCGCGCCGGTTCCGGGGGCCTCGTTTCTCCGAAGAAGATTGTATTGCCGCACAAGCCGACAGCGAAGCTGATCGAGACGCAGGATGGCAAGGAGGAGTTTCATATAGATGGCGTGATCACGGAACCGATCGCGCAATCGGTGTCCTCGGTGGTGAGCAAGTTCCAGCAGATCGAAAAATCGCATTCGCCCTCGCCGTCACCGGAACCCTCGTGCTACAAGTTCAAGTTCTCGCCGGCGAACAGTCCCGAACCGCCGCAGATGTATAAGCCCAAGTCAGCCGCTCTCGAGATCGTCGTCAAGTCACCGCCGGTCACGCCGGTACTTTCGCCGAGGATCTTGTCGCCCAGATTACAGAGCCCGCCTTCGCCGATCAAGGACGCCACACAGGGCTCGCAGAGTCCCTCCTCACCCGTCAAGGACTCGATCCGGGTTCAGATCTCTAATCCGTTCCACAAACCGCCACTGCCGAGTCCCAGGGAATCCTCGAAGACCCCAGAACCGGAATCGTTCAAAGTTCTTCGTCCGCAGATCGAGAAGGAGCCTTCGAGGATGAACATCGAGAGTCAAGAATCATCCATCAAAGCTGAACAAAAAGAGGACGCGAAATCGAGTCGCGTAACGTCCAACGATGATGAAGAACAGGAGGTCGTCGACGGGCCGAGAACCATCTCTAAGATCGCTTTAGACAACATCGGCAGAGCCGGCATAACGATGCAATTCAACTTCGGCGACAAGCCCATGACCGATAAAAGTTATCTACCGGGTGCGAAACAAAATGGACAAAGAACAGCCGACGAACGAGTGCCGGAAGACGATCATTGCGCAAAAACGGAATCCAAAAGCAAGACGATTATTCCGTCCGATGCACCTGCCAGCGTCGTGATGACCTCGGAGACGACATACAGATTACAAGAAAGACTTGGGTCCGAGAAGCTCGACGATGGCAAGGTGGACGTCGAGGAGAAGCTGATCGTGCCGGAGAGCAAACCCATCGGCGCCATCTGTAGTCTAGGCTTGATCAAGACCACGACTACGACAACGGCATATCCGCAGAGCAACAACGAGGCGAAGACGATAAGATGCCAGCAGCAGAAGAGCGAGTTCTCGCCGCCCCAGAAGCAGATCGGTATCATACGGCCGCTCGTTTCAACGCAGAAGACGCAGTATCCGCAGAATCTGAGCAATCGCGAGCTCGAGAAGAACCTGATCAATCGAGTCAAGAGTATCGAGCAGCCGACCAAAGTGGTAGTGAGCCTGAAGAGCGCCGACGAGATACAGCCGGCGAAGAAGACGAGCGCGGGAGGTGGAGGAGGTCTCTGGGATAAGAAGCCATGGAACCAGCAAAACAATACGATGGTGTTCAACTTCAGCAACCGAAAGGACGTGCCGGATTACATTGAGAATGACGGTCTCATCATCAGGAGAAAGCGGGAAAAGCCGAAGGTGAGTCATTAATTGCATTCTTTCCGAAAATGTAAAGAGCCCGACAGGTACTCGCTTCAACTTCTACATTCTACGACATCGTGATTACGACGATAAGTGATAAATTTTTATAGCTGAGAAGGCTTAAAGTTTTCTTCCTGGTATAAAGTCGCGTGGAATATCTCTTTTTGTCGAAGTATAAGTTAGATAAGAGAATGTTTCATACGTAAATACGGAAATAACATTTAATTAACCAATATTTTCATCTGTAAATGTGTAAATAAGTTGAAGTAAATCAGAAATATAAAATTAAGCTTGTATTTCTGATTTTTCGATATATGAATAATTTATTTTTACTGAGAGAATTAATATACATAAAATAAATATCTCATTCATTAAAAATAAAAAATATATCGCGCAAAAATATAAAAGCTATAATATTTATGTATAAGTTGCATTTTTACAAATGATTATATACTGCTCGCATTCTCTCTGTAAATCTTTATTTTTTAAAAGTGTATAAAAATTATATATTACAAATAATAACTAAAAGAAGCAGTACTTGAAAATATATTTCTACGTTTTTTCTACGTGCAAATTTAATAATTTGCATTAAAAAATCATTATTCCATATTGTATAATACAATCAACCAATTTAATATCACGATATTCCATAATAAAATTTATTTCTACAGGAAAATAACATTACATTTTTAACAAATTCATTAGACATTTTGATATATTATACATATTATTATCTCAATCATATTAAATCTCGTTAAAAATTTATTTTTAAATATTACATTTATGTGTGACGTGGAATTTTATTCATTTATTATTATAATTACAAATGCGGCAATAACACTTTATTAGGGAAATATCTCGCATGGAACAGATTTTTCACGAACCAAGTTAGCGTAAGATAGCAAAAACTGGTAGCGCGAATAATTTGATTACTAGTACCGTAACGAGGTACTTACTAGGTTTTTTTCTGCCCATTTATAACGTTTTTCTTCTATAGGAGAGCTAATATTCATTAAATCGAATTCGTTAAATCGCTTGTTATCGCCGCCGAGGAAGATGCAACGGTCGATTCAGTTCGATAGAAATCTAATACCGGCAACTTTCTTTTCGCATGCGTAAGATAGTTTGGATATTTCACTTTCTTTAATACGCCGGACACAGAAGCGTCGATTGCCACAAAGACAATGTTTGCACCTACGGCGTCAACTGCGGAATTTCAATTGATTCTAAAGATTCCATGCACGTATGCTTCGAATATATAATCGAGTGTCTCGCACGTCCCGCTGTTTCTTTTTACCTACGAAGTTTATATGATGAAATTCAAATATTTTTTTAACAAACCAGTTCAAACAATTGTCAAAGCCATACCAATAATTTTGGAATTACAATTATGAGAATCTATTCGAGAATTTTTATAAATTAAAAAAAGAAGTAAATATTATATTTTTCATTAAATTTTAATTGAGCAGAATTTTAATTTGTAGATTAATTTAAAAAAATATTTAAAATTGTGAAAAGATTGTCTCGAAGCTAATCGAAGAATTCGTAGCTGAAAGGAAACGCGGGAAAATCATGTGACATCCTGTATACTCCGTGACTTATTCGACCTCGATTTTGCGTCTCGCTTCCGCTCGATCCGACGAGCTGCGAGAATCCTCGTTAAACCATTGTACAACACGTGTAACGGTGTCGTCGCGTGCCTTAAATCTAGCTATTGTCCGTGTTTAGACAATCGTGCTTGGATGAATTAGTTACCGCTGTTGGGAGCATCTTGAGATACGCGTCATTTTAGCCACTTCCAGTCATTGACGATGAGTATTGAGTTTGTCATAGCGAGATGACAAAAATAATCTTTTCATTGTATATATACATCGCTTACTCATAAGTTTGGATAAAGTATCAGCGAGACTTGACGGTACGAAATCTGTTTATTGTATCATCCAGCGTAGCTCGGGAGAACAACAGCTGGATAAATTACATAACTACATAATCAATTTAATCTATTATATATTAAAATCTGCTTGTATAATTATAGCAAAATTTTAAAAATATACAGAGTTGTAAACTTGAAATCTTGGAAATAATATTTTATCATTAATTTGTATATAATTCTCTTTTAACTAAATTTTAATTATTATATTTCGAATGAGAGTTTGACGGGCGGCGGCGGCGGCGGTGTCGTCGCACCGAAGACCGACAGGTACCGAAACGCCACCCGGGGCAATGACTCGATGAAGCGGGCGCGTAGCGTCGAGACCTTGATGAGGTACAACAGCGTGACGACGGACGAGCCGATTATGCGCCAGCTTGTTCCGGTTACTCGACCGGCGACGAACGGCATGCGCCAGGAGCCGGTCAATGACCACATTATTCTCGTGGATCGCACGTCCGTGAAGATCGAGAATCGTTTGGGCGAGCTCGAGCGGCCTAAACCGATCAACAAGCCCAAGAGGATCAAGCCGATATTGGCGGAAACGGAACGACCGCCACCGGATCTAGTCAAGACCACGATGAGGATCTTCGAAGGCTCCGCGAAGAAGGTGAAGCCCAAGGGCGAGGTCGCCGCGAAGGTCGCCACTTTCAAGACCATCAACGACACGTTCAAGGCGCAGAAGAAGCTGATGCCGAAACCGCCGATACAGCCCAAGCCCTTCATCAACGGCGGCGCTCGCGCCGGTTCCGGGGGCCTCGTTTCTCCGAAGAAGATTGTATTGCCGCACAAGCCGACAGCGAAGCTGATCGAGACGCAGGATGGCAAGGAGGAGTTTCATATAGATGGCGTGATCACGGAACCGATCGCGCAATCGGTGTCCTCGGTGGTGAGCAAGTTCCAGCAGATCGAAAAATCGCATTCGCCCTCGCCGTCACCGGAACCCTCGTGCTACAAGTTCAAGTTCTCGCCGGCGAACAGTCCCGAACCGCCGCAGATGTATAAGCCCAAGTCAGCCGCTCTCGAGATCGTCGTCAAGTCACCGCCGGTCACGCCGGTACTTTCGCCGAGGATCTTGTCGCCCAGATTACAGAGCCCGCCTTCGCCGATCAAGGACGCCACACAGGGCTCGCAGAGTCCCTCCTCACCCGTCAAGGACTCGATCCGGGTTCAGATCTCTAATCCGTTCCACAAACCGCCACTGCCGAGTCCCAGGGAATCCTCGAAGACCCCAGAACCGGAATCGTTCAAAGTTCTTCGTCCGCAGATCGAGAAGGAGCCTTCGAGGATGAACATCGAGAGTCAAGAATCATCCATCAAAGCTGAACAAAAAGAGGACGCGAAATCGAGTCGCGTAACGTCCAACGATGATGAAGAACAGGAGGTCGTCGACGGGCCGAGAACCATCTCTAAGATCGCTTTAGACAACATCGGCAGAGCCGGCATAACGATGCAATTCAACTTCGGCGACAAGCCCATGACCGATAAAAGTTATCTACCGGGTGCGAAACAAAATGGACAAAGAACAGCCGACGAACGAGTGCCGGAAGACGATCACTGCGCAAAAACGGAATCCAAAAGCAAGACGATTATTCCGTCCGATGCACCTGCCAGCGTCGTGATGACCTCGGAGACGACATACAGATTACAAGAAAGACTTGGGTCCGAGAAGCTCGACGATGGCAAGGTGGACGTCGAGGAGAAGCTGATCGTGCCGGAGAGCAAACCCATCGGCGCCATCTGTAGTCTAGGCTTGATCAAGACCACGACTACGACAACGGCATATCCGCAGAGCAACAACGAGGCGAAGACGATAAGATGCCAGCAGCAGAAGAGCGAGTTCTCGCCGCCCCAGAAGCAGATCGGTATCATACGGCCGCTCGTTTCAACGCAGAAGACGCAGTATCCGCAGAATCTGAGCAATCGCGAGCTCGAGAAGAACCTGATCAATCGAGTCAAGAGTATCGAGCAGCCGACCAAAGTGGTAGTGAGCCTGAAGAGCGCCGACGAGATACAGCCGGCGAAGAAGACGAGCGCGGGAGGTGGAGGAGGTCTCTGGGATAAGAAGCCATGGAACCAGCAAAACAATACGATGGTGTTCAACTTCAGCAACCGAAAGGACGTGCCGGATTACATTGAGAATGACGGTCTCATCATCAGGAGAAAGCGGGAAAAGCCGAAGGTGAGTCATTAATTGCATTCTTTCCGAAAATGTAAAGAGCCCGACAGGTACTCGCTTCAACTTCTACATTCTACGACATCGTGATTACGACGATAAGTGATAAATTTTTATAGCTGAGAAGGCTTAAAGTTTTCTTCCTGGTATAAAGTCGCGTGGAATATCTCTTTTTGTCGAAGTATAAGTTAGATAAGAGAATGTTTCATACGTAAATACGGAAATAACATTTAATTAACCAATATTTTCATCTGTAAATGTGTAAATAAGTTGAAGTAAATCAGAAATATAAAATTAAGCTTGTATTTCTGATTTTTCGATATATGAATAATTTATTTTTACTGAGAGAATTAATATACATAAAATAAATATCTCATTCATTAAAAATAAAAAATATATCGCGCAAAAATATAAAAGCTATAATATTTATGTATAAGTTGCATTTTTACAAATGATTATACTGCTCGCATTCTCTCTGTAAATCTTTATTTTTTAAAAGTGTATAAAAATTATATATTACAAATAATAACTAAAAGAAGCAGTACTTGAAAATATATTTCTACGTTTTTTCTACGTGCAAATTTAATAATTTGCATTAAAAAATCATTATTCCATATTGTATAATACAATCAACCAATTTAATATCACGATATTCCATAATAAAATTTATTTCTACAGGAAAATAACATTACATTTTTAACAAATTCATTAGACATTTTGATATATTATACATATTATTATCTCAATCATATTAAATCTCGTTAAAAATTTATTTTTAAATATTACATTTATGTGTGACGTGGAATTTTATTCATTTATTATTATAATTACAAATGCGGCAATAACACTTTATTAGGGAAATATCTCGCATGGAACAGATTTTTCACGAACCAAGTTAGCGTAAGGTAGCAAAAACTGGTAGCGCGAATAATTTGATTACTAGTACCGTAACGAGGTACTTACTAGGTTTTTTTCTGCCCATTTATAACGTTTTTCTTCTATAGGAGAGCTAATATTCATTAAATCGAATTCGTTAAATCGCTTGTTATCGCCGCCGAGGAAGATGCAACGGTCGATTCAGTTCGATAGAAATCTAATACCGGCAACTTTCTTTTCGCATGCGTAAGATAGTTTGGATATTTCACTTTCTTTAATACGCCGGACACAGAAGCGTCGATTGCCACAAAGACAATGTTTGCACCTACGGCGTCAACTGCGGAATTTCAATTGATTCTAAAGATTCCATGCACGTATGCTTCGAATATATAATCGAGTGTCTCGCACGTCCCGCTGTTTCTTTTTACCTACGAAGTTTATATGATGAAATTCAAATATTTTTTTAACAAACCAGTTCAAACAATTGTCAAAGCCATACCAATAATTTTGGAATTACAATTATGAGAATCTATTCGAGAATTTTTATAAATTAAAAAAAGAAGTAAATATTATATTTTTCATTAAATTTTAATTGAGCAGAATTTTAATTTGTAGATTAATTAAAAAAAATATTTAAAATTGTGAAAAGATTGTCTCGAAGCTAATCGAAGAATTCGTAGCTGAAAGGAAACGCGGGAAAATCATGTGACATCCTGTATACTCCGTGACTTATTCGACCTCGATTTTGCGTCTCGCTTCCGCTCGATCCGACGAGCTGCGAGAATCCTCGTTAAACCATTGTACAACACGTGTAACGGTGTCGTCGCGTGCCTTAAATCTAGCTATTGTCCGTGTTTAGACAATCGTGCTTGGATGAATTAGTTACCGCTGTTGGGAGCATCTTGAGATACGCGTCATTTTAGCCACTTCCAGTCATTGACGATGAGTATTGGGTTTGTCATAGCGAGATGACAAAAATAATCTTTTCATTGTATATATACATCGCTTACTCATAAGTTTGGATAAAGTATCAGCGAGACTTGACGGTACGAAATCTGTTTATTGTATCATCCAGCGTAGCTCGGGAGAACAACAGCTGGATAAATTACATAACTACATAATCAATTTAATCTATTATATATTAAAATCTGCTTGTATAATTATAGCAAAATTTTAAAAATATACAGAGTTGTAAACTTGAAATCTTGGAAATAATATTTTATCATTAATTTGTATATAATTCTCTTTTAACTAAATTTTAATTATTATATTTCGAATGAGATTATCGTATGTAAATGAGATCATAACATATGCTTTCCGTGAAATCATATTCTTCACGTGACGAGGTTATTTTGATTTTACGTAAAATTGACAAAATATCGACTTTTGTACTCCTCACGGCGACGCAATAAGGAGTACTTCTAATACGTAAAAACGCTCGAGCGCCGTCGAGTAAGATTAGATTGTTCGATCAGATATCGATGGGCATTGTATTAATTTTCGATAACCGCGATATGAAATTATTATCGCGCGGGTTGCGCAAAGTAAAATCGAAATCGTTCCGAAATCGTGCGGCGCTTTCTAAAATGTTCGACGTAAAATCTGTCTCGCTCGAACGCTCGTTTCCAGGCCTCTCGTAAAACGCATCATCGCACCTTCGCGATGAACCGAAGTGAAACCGAAGGAGGCGTTCGACATTCAACGGAAAATGAGAGAAATTAGGAACACGATCGGCGCGATCTGTCCGAGGGTCGTTACTTTCCCGTATTAGATAATCCGGAAGTACGCGAGAGTACGAATAACGATTATTCTTGACGATAATAAAAGATTCTAACGTTTAATCTGCACGTTTTAATTCTCCACGTTTAGAATGAGACTATTAAATATCTAATAGTCGCGTCTCACGCAAGCTTGATAAATCGCGATTTGTACTGGTTAATAATACGCGTCTGCTTTTCTCAACAGGAAATTTATTAATTATTGCAATGAGTAATATCGGAGGGAAATTAATTTTTAATTTTAAAGACGCGAATAACGATTATATCTTGCAGAATAATTTCGAATTTAAACCTTTGTCCCCACTAGATTGTTTTCGCAGAATAATGATGAAATCAATTTCGACAATAATTTTATGATAAAGCCTTATGATATCGCTTGTCGATTGTTTTTCGCTTTGTCTTTAATAAAAAATACGCATTATCGGTGCTTCACGCATTATCGATAGTTGATAGGAAACGCGGGAAAATCATGGGACATCCTGTATACTCCGTGACTTATTCGACCTCGATTTTGCGTCTCGCTTCCGCTCGATCCGACGAGCTGCGAGAATCCTCGTTAAACCATTGTACAACACGTGTAACGGTAATTATTCTTGACGATAATATAAAAGATTCTAACGTTTAATCTGCACGTTTTAATTCTTCACGTTTAGAATGAGACTATTAAATATCTAATAGTCGCGTCTCACGCAAGCTTGATAAATCGCGATTTGTACTGGTTAATAATACGCGTCTGCTTTTCTCAACAGGAAATTTATTAATTATTGCAATGAGTAATATCGGAGGGAAATTAATTTTTAATTTTAAAGACGCGAATAACGATTATATCTTGCAGAATAATTTCGAATTTAAACCTTTGTCCCCACTAGATTGTTTTCGCAGAATAATGATGAAATCAATTTCGACAATAATTTTATGATAAAGCCTTATGATATCGCTTGTCGATTGTTTTTCGCTTTGTCTTTAATAAAAAATACGCATTATCGGTGCTTCACGCATTATCGTATTAAATATCATAATTGGTTACTGTATGTGAAATCGAAATGTTTCAAATCTTCGAGGTCATTATTGTCTGCTTTTATTCCGCGTTTTTTAACAAAAATTTCATTAATTCAATTATTTTAAATTTTAATCTTGTATTTTTAATTTAATGCGACAACTGATCATTAATCGATTATATTCTGCTAGGTTTGTATTAAATATTTACAACAAATAAATGAATCAATGTAAAGTAAGACGAGATCGCAATATAAAAACATAGTAAAAGCATCTCTTACATTTTGATGACGGTAAACATGATTGTGATAAATTAGAATCGTGATTAGTGTCTTCTAGATACACGATTCGCATTATTTAATATTAATTTATGAAATGATATATCTCTGCCTTATCTAATGGGCGCGTACTACTGAAAAAATATTATGGACAAAGGAATACGCGTGCACACACAAAGCACGGGCTTTCTTGTACAATTTTCATTTTCATGCGCGTGCACAATTTTCATATTTTATTTGCGAAATTGCTTCTGCTCCATCTAATCGCGACGTAACGGTGCATCTGCAAATGTTGAAAAAGAGGATATCCTTGCCCGACTCGCGGACTGAACATAAAGCAATCGTTTAACGAACTAGAAACTGGAATACACATTAGGGTGGCGCAATCTTCGTCAGCTTCCACAAAGGTTCGTGGGAGATTGCGAAGAATGCGCGTTGTTTATTCAGTATCACAAGCGCAAACAAAATATAGGTTTTAAACTTTCAATAATAATGACTGATAAAACCAGTGTACATGAGATACAATAAAGTACGACTTGTTGTATCAAAACTATGACTTATCGTATTTTATTAACATTTTACGATATTTTCGAGGACCACGTTTCTGCGATGTAATATAGATTATGCAATGATAACCTTGCATGTGCAATGTAGAAAAATTTTCAACTGTTTACCTAAGGAGTTTGATAAGCGGGAAAAGCCTTGATCGACTCTAAAGCTTGCATGAATAAAAAAGGCTTTAAAATTCTAAAGCAACCTTGTTGATAAAGTTAGGTCTTATAATAAAGGCTCTATGTAAATCATTTTTTATTATACATAACTTACGATCGCACGTGCGTGGTTTTTCATGTATATAACTTTTATATATAATGATTTAATTTTATTAATAATGCAAATATGTATGATATTTTGAATTAGCATCGAGTTTACATAAATAACGTTACGAGTTTGTTAAATACATGAAGAGACGATATAAAATTTTTGCCGCTATTAAAATTTAATCAGATTTGATCACCAATATCCAGAGGGACGTAATTATATAGCTTCAACGACATCGTTAGTCGCAACAAACCCGGTG